ATTATAGAACTAAATCAGTCATATTAAGTAGAACAGATAAAAAAAACTACTAAGAGGGATAATGTATTAAGTTGTTCATTAACAGTCAGGGCTATGCTGATCTAGCCACCGTTTCCCATACTGTCCACCTCACTCCAACAGGTTTCCCTCTTGGTGTTCAGTCAGTCGTGACGACTGACTGAACACCAAGAGCTAACTCATCTTAAAAACATACTTTTGCAGGCTGGCGCTGTGGCTCAGTGGGTTAAAGCCCTGGCCTGAAGTGCCGGTATCCTATATGGGCACTGGTTCTAGTCCTGGCTGCTCCTCTTCCCATCCAGCTCTCTGCTATGGCCTGGGAAAGCAGTAGAAGATGGCCCATGTCCTTGGGCCCCTGCACCCACATGGGAGACCTGGAAGAAGCTCCTGGCTCAGCTTCAGCCGTTGCAGCCATTTTGGGAGGGAACCAGCAGATGGAAGACCTCTCTCTCTCTCTGTTTCTACCTCTCTCTATAACTCTGTCTTTCAAATAAATAAAAATAAATCTTTAAAAAAATACTTTTGCAAATTTTACAAACCTTGGGGCCATATAAGCACCAGTTCGTCCTGGCTGCTGTGCTTTGGATCCAGCTTCCTGCTAATGTGCCTGGGAAATCAGCAGAGGATGGTCCAAGTCCTTGGGCACCCACACCCACATGGGAGACCCAGAAGAAGCTTCTGGCTCCTGGCTTTGGATTGATCTCATTCTGGCTATTCAGACCATTTGGGTAGTGAACCAGTGGATGGAAAAATCTCTCTCTCTCTCTCTCTCTCTCTCTCTCTCTCTCTCCCTCCCTCCATCTGCAACTCTGCTTTTCAAATAAATTTTAAAAATAAATATTTAAAAAATAAAACTAAAAGTTTTACAAACCTTTTGGATATAGTGCTATAATTTATAGTCACTTCCACATGCAGTTATTCTGTTGCTAGCTCTTCTACTTTCAGAATATTCCCACTGTCCACTGTGCCAGTTCACCCACAGTAATAACATCACATATGCATCCTCAATTAAATGAGTCACCATCCAAGAAAAGTTCAAATGTTCTCTAATGGCATCTCACAAAGTTGGGTAAGGTCAGAACTTAAGATCCATTGGTGACTCTGGAAATCGATTCTTGGTAATCTAGTATCAGAGTGGAGCCTATAAATCATTAAGTAAAGCCAATGAGAAAGTCATACCCTTTGATTTCTCTGCAGCCTAAACTAAGGAGGGCAAATAACTTGGGCTTTTATGTCTTTTATAAATGTCCTTTATTTGATCTTAATTAGTAATGACAATTTTTTAACTTCAATTTTTCTTCATTTGTTACTCTAGTTAAAGTCAAGGTTTGGTTTTCCTTTTTATTACATTATAATCAGAAGAGAAAAACAAATGCTAAATAAAACCATGTTCCAGAAATACCCAGAAGCTATCAGAAAAATACAAGGTTTAGCAAAGCAATTGAACCTGAGGGTAGAGAAAGCTTTGCTACAGCCAGAGGAGCTAAGCGTTGGGGGAAGTTAATACTTCTTCAAGAGTTGTACTAAGAACATTAAAAATACTTTTGCCAAGGAAGGGTATCAACATTTTAATCTACCTTACACTGATAAAAAGAAAAACATAGCAAGGCGAAGGCAGGGGCAGTGTTTCACAGAGCACGGCCCACGGAAACAAAACACCCTTTGTTTCGGGAATATTGCACCTGCATTAAATTTACTGCTGACATCTCTTCGTAGAAATTTGATTTTTTCTCTCATTCTCCTACCTTTTATTGTTTTCAACACTGAGGAATGTGAGGCATGCCAGTTGTCCTACTTGTGGCTGCAACATTTCTGTCTTCCACCGTGAAAGAGAACAGGGTTTCCTCACCTCCTTCGCCATCAGCACGTCGTCTCAGCAATGCACCTGCGCCGGTAACACTACACTCTACCTTGCAGAACTTCATACTTCTGTGACAGACTCAAGAGATCAATTTCCTGTAGATCTGGGCCTCAGAGACTGTGCCCTGTTCTGACAAGGAGGTCTCTTTCAAATAATCCTCATGACGAGGGGCAGCTCAAATGCAAACTCAGAATCGGTAGAAGAGCTGTGATATCAATATCATAAAGGAAGGAATCATGGCCATAGGCACAGTAGCTGTGAGTTTGGTTTTTTAGCTTATATTTACGGGGAGGGGTGTCCTCAATCTCAATGGTAACATAGTGAGTTGACTTTGAAATTTTTGTTTTCTGAAATTGTCAAAGAAGAGGATGTGTGGTGGATAGCTCATAGGATGACTTTTTTTCAGAAATTACTTTACCTATGAAACTGCTACCTATTGTAGATTAGTTCAGCTTTGATACTTATGCTTCTGCTCTTGAAATTTCCTCTGCAACACTGTAAAGGCAGAGTTTATACCAATTCAGTATCTTGGGCTTATTTCTATTATTATATCTGCAGTTATGCTTAGCTGTTATTTATTGAACTATCATCTCCTCTCCTGGACTGTGAATTTCCTAGGACAGAGCTGGGCTGTATCTCTTGGTTCTTAGCTGCTAAACTTGTATTCCCTTCTTGTCAAATCCCTAATAAATGTTTGCCTTTTTATTAGATTAGTGGATTGTCAACCAGATTGGTCACCTACTACGGGATCCTGGAGGTACAATAACACTTCTTATTAAAGCCATGTCAGTTTGCTTTTGACATAAAGCTCAGGAATTTATCTTGAATTGGAAAAAAAAGAAGAAAGAGGAAAGGGGAAAAATGAACAGAGAAGGTTGTCTAGTTTTTTTAAAAAAAATACTCAGATCACCTGGGTTCCAAGCATGGCTGTAACACCTACAAGCTGTGTGACTGAAAACTTAGTATCTGAATATTGTTTCCTTTTCTGGAAAATTGGAATATTGATAGATCCTAGAGTACTGAATGAGAAAATGGATGTAAAGTCCTTAGAATTCCTAGCTCCAGGGAAAAATTCAATAAGTTATGGCACCATGTGTTAGTTAAGCCACCACTTGGGACATCCATATCCGATATTGGAACACTGGTTTGAGTCCCACTGCCTCAATTCTGACCTGGCTTTCTGCCAATGTATCTTAGGAGTCAATTGATGATGGCCAAAGTGTTTGGGACTCTGCCGTTCATGTGGGAGACCTGGATGGAGTTTTGGGTTCCTGACTCTGGCATGGCCTAGGCTCAGCTACTGTGGCCAATGGAGATTGAACAAATGGATAGAAGATTTGTGTTTCTCTTTCTGTGTCTTTCTGTTCTTGGTCACTCTGCCTTTCAAATAAATGAAAATAAATAAAAATGCTTTTAAAAAATTAATGACTAGTGTACTAGGAGGAGAAGAAAAAACTTTGACTTCAGTATACCGAAGATATAATCTTCATGTCGTAATTTCTAAAGAGGCATGCTAAAGAAGTCTTACACTGGAGAAATTACCTTCAGCCATCTGCTTCTCCTATCCATTCAGAATTCACCAGGCAGACCCTGACTTCTGACCTATTGTTTGCTTTCTGAATACCTACAATCCTTTCTCTGTAACTGCAATGGTGCCAGAGGTTGGTTAATTTTGGCAAGAGTAGAATTGAAATGGAAACCTTTAGATGTCCTTTCTCCAATTAGGATCATGCACTCACTTCTTATTTTATTATATAACCTTTAACATGAGAGTACTGTAAGGCAGGCATCATCCATGTACCTCTGTTTAATCATCTGGCTTATTTCCAAGTTATACCTGTGAGATTTCAGTTTAACATTAGCTCATAAATGAGTCACGCCATTGTGAGCATTTCAAGCACTTTCCCCATTTCTCCTAAATTTTCATGCTTATTAAGAAATCTGGAAAGGGAAGCTAATATTTTATCCCCCAAAATTTATTTCTGCTTGTGTAACTTTCCATTGAATCCTTCTAAATGTTACCTAATTTTACCCCTTTTCATCAGATAATGAGGTCATGCTTTTTTGTTAAAAAAAGAGAGATATTTATTTATTTGAAAGGCATAGTTACAAAGAGAGGGGGAGAAATGAAGAGAGACATCTTTAATCTGCTGATTCACTCCCTAGATGGCTGCAATGCCCAGGGCTGAGGCAGGCCAAAATCAGGAGCCAGAAGCTTCTTCCAGCTCTCCCAGGTGGATGTAGGGGCCAAAATAATGGGCCATCTTCTACTGCTTTTCCTAGACCATTAGCAGGGACCAAGATTGAAAGTAGAGCAGTCTGGACACAAACTAGAGCCCATATCAGGAGCCAGCATTGTAGGCTCTAGCTACCCACTATGCCACAGCTCTGGTTTAAGGTCAGTTTTTACTGTTCACCTTATGCTGTTTGAGGTTGATCATATATGATTCCTGGAAATTCAGTTTTACCAGTTTCTCTTTTTCTAACTCTCAGAAGTTTCTGACATGAGCAGGCCTGCATATTGTGCAAACATGCCCTCAATGTTGACTATGCCCAGTCAGTTTTCTATTATAGATTTAGGATCTTCCTCCTGCCATCAAGAGCCTTGTTTCCCCCAGTCTGCTGTTGCTGTCACTTATACTAGCTCATCTTGGGGCACAGACTCTCTGCTCAATCCCTCCAAATAATAGCTGAAACTTGACCATATCTTATTAAAGTCTTGGGGCAGTCACTGTGGCATAGTGAGTAAACCTGCTGCCTGAAGTGCCAGCATCCCATGTAGGCATCAGTTCTAGTCCCGGCTGCTCCACTTCCAATCCAGCTCTCTGCTATGGCCTGGGAAAGCAGTAGAAGATGGCCCAAGTCCTTGGGCCACTGCACCCACATGAGAGACCCGGAAGAAGCTCCTGGCTCTTGGCTTTGGATCAGCACAGCTCTGGACATTGTGGCCATTGCAGCCATTTTGGGAGGGAACCAGCAGATGGAAGATCTCTCTCTCTCTCTCTCTCTCTCTCTGTCTCTGCCTCTACCTCTCTGTATCTCTTTCAAATAAATAAATAAATCTTTTTTATTTTTTCAATTAATTTTTATTAAGTACTATAAAGCACATTGCATGTTACATAATACATTACACAACCTTCTAACAGGGGTAGATGACCATAAATGAGTTATTTTCCATCAATCAGGAAAATGCTTCTTTAATCAATGTTCTCCAAACCCTTAGTCACATAGTGACGATTAACTCCAGAGATGCACTTATCTCTTTCCATCAAACTCCACTGATAATGAAAATGAGCAATCCTTTTTTCCTTGTGCCCATTAGTGAACTTGTTAATGTGCGCGGTGGCCGCTTGGGGGATACTCAAACACACGGCCATAATGGGAACTCCAGGCAGAATCTCGAACCACATCTCTGCACCGCTACCTAAGCCAAAACCCTACTTTTAGGTCCCTAAAGGTGACCGGGACTCCGCTTTCTTCCCGGTAAGCCCCGCAGCAGCCCATGAAAGGGCGGAGCCACGCACTCCACAGGAAGCCACGGAGTCCGGCAGGGTTCAAGAGTGGCTGGCGCTAATAAATAAATCTTAAAAAAAAAAAAAAGTCTCAAGGATAACAAAATGGCCTTTAAACTGGTTGCCAGTTATGGCTTTTGTAAGAATGCAGAGGCTCAGTCTTTCCATAGGAGCCTCATGTTGGATTTCTCTGTCTACATGTGGTCCTGTTCCCATGTTGCGGGACTGGGCTTATTCCCGACACATCTTCCAATGGTAGTGCCTCCACCATGGCTCCCTTCGTCCGTTCAAAGTCCTTTTCTAGAAGAAGGAAGGGGCATTTCTGCTTTCTTATCAGTCCAGAGCCTGCTCCCAAATCACTAGTTTCTCGTAGGAGAGAGATTTTCTGCAATGTTTCACACTGAAACTCTTCTTTCTTCTCATGGGAAAGCTTCCTAAAGAGTGTCATCTTGCCTTTGAACTCCTGACACACAATCGTCCGTCATGTGTCTATTTTGTGAATAATGTATGCTATTCAGCTTCAATAGTTCAGTTCAGGTTTGCCCCTGTCCTTCCTAGCAGGGGGAAGATCACATCCTTCTGGCTCACTTGATACTCTGCTCTCAGTCTACTCTCTATGAGGACTTAGATGAGAAGAAAAGAATACAGCTCTCAAGAATGAGTAAGACATGTCAGAGTCAGGGCATTGCAATCCATATTTTGATTTGCTAAGGTAAATTTCCTAATGTGCATTATAGAAATTGAGCTTTGTCTACCCAGAAGACAACTTCTATGAGTCAAAGCTATTTGACTTTTGAATCGCATTGTCATCAATCTATCAATCTATCAATTCAAGAACAAAGCTGTATACATTTGCATAATTTAGAAGCCCATGAACATATATATATATATATATATATTTATAAAATGGAGATCTTTGATCTAAAAAGTAAACATAATAATCTACCCCTGTAGGAACAAAACAAAACAAGACATGATTTCACCTTTAAAATCAGTTTTAAAAACAGTTTTTCCTATTTCTAGCCATGTGGATATTTTTTTAATTTTTTTTTTTTTTTGACAGGCAGAGTGGACGGTGAGAGAGAGAGACAGAGAGAAAGGTCTTTCTTTGCCGTTGGTTCACCCTCCAATGGCTGCCACAGCCGGCGCGCTGTGGCCAGTGCACCGCGCTGATCCGATGGCAGGAGCCAGGTGCTTCTCCTGGTCTCCCATGCGGGTGCAGGGCCCAAGCACTTGGGCCATTCTCCACTACACTCCCTGGCCACAGCAGAGAGCTGGCCTGGAAGAGGGGCGACCGGGACAGAATCCGGCGCCCTGACCGGGACTAGAACCCGGTGTGCTGGTGCCACAAGGCGGAGGATTAGCCTAGTGAGCTGCGGCGCCGGCCGCCATGTGGATATTTTTTAACATCTTGAGAAACTAGTCTCAGCCAAAATACTTGCACAACCATATAACAGGATATTATGTGAAAATTAATTTGAGGGCTACTTATTGACAGCTTTTTCTGTATTCTCTAAAGTAGCAATATCCTTTGCATTATTTTTAAAAAATATTTATTTATTTATTTATTTGAAAGATAGAATAATAGAGAGCGAGAGAGGAACAGAGATCTTCCATCTGCTAGTTCACTCCCCAAATGACTGCAGCAGCTGGGGCTGAGGCAGGCTGAGCCCTGAGCCTAGAATTCCATCTGGATCTCCCAGATGGGTGGCTGGAGCCCAAGTACTTGTGTCATCTGCTGCTTTCTAGGTATGCTAGTAGGGAGCTGGATTGGAAGTTGAGCATCTAGGACTCAAAAAGGTGCTCTGATGTGGGATCCCAGTATGCTAAGCAGTGGCTTAATCTCCTGCTTTTCATTCTATATCTCAGACACTTGCAGCGTGATGTTAAGAGGCTTTGGTACTCTAACCTCGTTTACAGTTTCTGGTGTCTGAGAGTGTGAGGAGAGAGACAGATACATTCTTGGATCAGGAAAAACAGAAAAAGTGAGATATTGGTGGAGCCCTAGAACAATAGGAATACACACATTGCCTAAGAGAAATGAAAGTTCTCAGAATGGCTAGCTTCTCCCACACATAGAAATTCCCTGTATCAGCAAGGATGTCTGAGAGCCAAGTAAGCCTATCATGACAGGGCCATGTCCTTGAAAGATCTCTTAGGTTAGTGAGTGCGGAGCTGCCAGGTGACCAATGGGGACCAATGATGGATGTAGCTATCTCTGTACCAGGAAACTCTGTGACCACCTAAAAACTTTGTAGATTTATGTAAGTTTAAAGGGGAAAAAAGAATTGAGATTCTATTTCTATATTTGACAATGTGAATTAAGATTCACACTTTCTTCATGAGAAAGGTATTTGTGAAATCCTCATGTCATAGTTTAAGAAGCTGAGATCTAGAATGAGATTTACTAACCCAATTTCTTGCAGACATGGGTTACCAAACTTGATCTGCTCAATCTAACACTCTGCTTTTTTTTTATAGATTTTCAGGATGATCAAAACCTGTGGAAACAGTTACTATTGAGTGGAGAAAATTTGCAAGTGATCTGAGTAAACACTAGGCACCAGAATCATGAACCCACTGATATTATGCACTGTGGAGGACACGATTTAATTCTTTTCTATATTCTTGATAAAAATGCACATCTTTGTCTAAAAATAGGAGCAGATCAGGCAAAGCCAAATAAAAATATTTTACGAAATACATGATTATTATTCTTTAAAATTCTAAAAGTCATGGCAGACAAGGAAAGACTAAAAAACTATTACAGACAGAAAGAAACTCAGTGGAAATAGCAGTTACAGGCAATGAGAGACTCTGGATTAGACCTTGGCAGAGAAAAAAATGCACTAGTGCCAACTTACATACAAATAATATCTATAGTTTAGGTAATAATATTGTACTATTGTTAATATACTATTCTTGAGAATTACAATTGTAAGATCTGAACTGTAGGGGAAATGATGTGAACAATGTAAAAGAATACTAGTCATATAGAACTTTTTTTTATAAATCTGAAATTATTCCAGGGTTTTGGTATAGGAGTTAAGTTGCCACTCATGGGGCCAGCACTGTGGTATAGTAGGTTAAGCCTCCACCTGCAGCACCAACATCCCATATGAACACTGGTTCAAGTCCTGGATGCTCCACTTCCAATCCAACTCTCTGCTATGGCCTGGGAAAGCAGTATAAGATGGTCCAAGTGCTTGGGCCCCTGCACCCATGTGGGAGACACAGAAGAAACTCCTGGCTCCTGCCTTCAGATCAGCCCAGCTCTGGCCTTTGTGGCTATTTGATGAGTGAACTAGCAGGTGGGAGATATCTTTCTCCCTCTCTCTTTTTTCAAAAATCAAATGAAAATAAATTTAAGAATGTATAATTAGCTCAAAAGAAAAAGTTAAAAAATAAACAAAAATAATCAATGTTGGATCATAGAGATTTCAGAAAACTTAAGACTGATGCCTAAATTCCTTGATACAGACATTTTTGGACATGTAAGATGACTCTAAGATATCATGGGAACAGTGTCTTCTGTGCTTATAAAAACTGTAGAACATTTACCAAGCCTACATAGCACCCTTGGTGAAAAGACGATGCTGAAAATTAGCTTTGAGGCAATGCTATTCAGCAAATAGAGGGGGGAAAATTAAGCAAGCAAGCTCACATACTCTTGCAAACATGGAAGACTTTAGAGCAGATGTTTAGATGTTTAATTGAAAGACATAGTTAAGCTTCTCACACAAATAGGTCAGGATAATTCTTCCTCATGTAAGAGATATTTTGTAAGCGGATGCTTCATACTTTATAAATTTCTTTGATTGTGACTACAAAACAATTATTTGTGTTGTTAATTTGAATATATGAATTTTCTCAAAGGAACATAATTTATTCATGAAGTAATTATGGGTGGAGAAAGCACTGTGTGGAGTCTGAATCCCTAGATGTAGACTACAAAGAGATGAAGAATATTCTGGAAACATTGCTTTTGTGGCAGGATAAGGGTAGAAGAGACGGGAGACAAAAGCACGAGGTTACTGCTGAGTTCAGGCAAACTAGGAAATGGGCATTACCTATAGCAGCATCAGGATGGATGAAGAAAACTGTGTGAAATTAAGAAGAAACACTAGCAAGAAAAAGAACAAAGGTCTTTAGGATGATCTTTTCCTGTATTTTGTGGAAAGTGGTAGCAAAGAAAGGAGGAAAGGTAGAATGGGAGGGAGATTAGTGATTATGGTGGCAACATCAAGAAGAAATAAGAGAATAAAGGCAAGTACTTAGGAAAGAAACAGAGGAAGAAAGGGAAAATAAAGAATTACCAAGAATCCTCAATATACTTAAGCTTTTCCATGAGCTTTTTCTATTGTAACCACCTCTGAAAGAGTGCTACAACCCTGAAATATATCTTCATCGTTATGGGTAATATCTGCCTTAGGTATTAATCTCAATTCTAAAATAACCTAGAGCCCACATACCTCTCTTATTTTATTTTTTTTCCTGAGAAATTAATCAGGAAGCAGTTTCCTTCATTATTTACAGGATGTTTTTAGGATTGCAGATATATTCAGGCACCCATAAATAAGCAAAAACAAGAGACCAATTTGTACTTCTATGGGTTACATTGTAGCTATAGCTACTGGCTGGTTCTGAAGCAAATTCTGATAAAGATCAGACTTAGAGGGATTCCATCTGTGTCCACATTACAGATGGAAAACACAGGAAGTATAATTATTCATTTAGGAAATATTTAAGAAGTCCCACTATGTATCAGACAATAGATTCTGGGCATATAAAGAGACATAAGAAGGATCTTTGCTCAAAGAAAGAAATTGTTTGCCCTGCTATAAGTATTGTAACAAAAGTAAAACAAGGTAGAGAGAACTTGACCTGCATGAGGGATGGGGTAGAGGGAAGAGTGCTACCTGATACAATTGATCTGTGACAAGTTCTCTGAGGAACTGTTCCTG